CCCAATGGCCAGTCCGCCCCTGCATGAAAATGAACTCACCTGATCTCTTTGCAGGTTTGTGTGTTGATGAAAGTTTTCCATGTAGGTGTCTTTAGGAAACTTTGCCTAATATGATAAAACCTGCCATGAATAAAAAGAAAATTACATTTGAGTATAGTTTAAATGTTAAAAACAGACAGACATATAAATACACATTTAAATAATATATATATATATGTTTTTAATTCAGTACAAATGTAATAATAATGTAGGAGATTTTAATGAATAATCTGCACATACCTATTTGTGTCATAGTGTGATATTATATGTTTGTACACAATGTATTCATATGATTGTTTTTTCAAAATGTCATCTGTGTGCATTACTATATTAAAACACTTCATAGTATTGTTTTTACACTAACAGCATTTGCAAAAAAGGAGTTGTTTATCAATAAATCTGTATTTAGGTACAATTCATACAATTAGAAAAATCGTTGCAGCATGTTCTTGAACGCAGCACCGACTGCTTTTGTTGTCGAACAGCATTCTGGGAAGGGACGCCGGTGGAAAACTTCTCGAAGGAACTGCAAAGATGATGGTGAGTGAGTTAGCATTCATGCCCGAAATCAAATGTTTAATCCGTGTCCATCCTTTAGTTTCTCAGCGGCATCTGCATCTAGATAACTCATCATTTATGTGGCACCCCTTTGTCGGTCTAAAGAAACAACGATTTATTGGAAAATGATTGTAAAACGGCTTTATTTTTAGCCAGACTGTTAGCCTCGTATGCTACCAATGGGCGTTTACGAAGCTAACGGTGATGCTATTGAATACAATATATAGTACGCTCAGCTGTACCTTTTGGTCTCTTCATTTAATTTAAGTATATGTCTCTATATAAGTTTTGTTACCACCTTTGAAATGGTCTTTGTTAGTCTGGTTATTGTCATGTTATCTGCTGTGTGTTAAGCTTCTTTGTATGAGTGGCTGCATAGGAAGCTAACGGAAGAGCCTATTAAGTTAAATCTATTGCTGGTTTTGTTAGTGCTATTGGTCAAGTAGCATTCGTATGTGTCTGTATATGTATGAGACATAGCTGTCTGAAAGAGAACGACGCAGAGCAACGAAGACAAGTGACTCTTGCTAAGTCATTTGCTAATTCCTGCTAGCTAATGAACAGAAAACAGTATATAAAGTGTTGAATGTTTTTTTTGTACATGTAACGTAAGTCTGCTACAATGAGCATTATTATTAACAGACTATATGAAACAGAAAACAACATGTACAGACTTCAGGCTTTTGACAGTGTCGCACATCATGCGTGTGTAACAAAAGCATCACACCCTGCAGCTACAAGAAGCAGCCACAGCCTGTGTGTTACCACTTCAGGTTATTGCCTTAGATGGTAAAGCAATACAACTTCTAGACTGTTTTTACCCAAGCTGAGTGACAATACCATAGTAATAATGTCAAATATCTTTGGGATAAGGAAAATCCCAATGCTTATTAATAATGTGAAACATGCTGCACTTTTTACACATGGCATAATTATGCATTTTATTATTAGAATTTTTTTAAACAGCAACCACGCTTTCTTCTCAATTCCTTTTTATCCCTTTCTCTCTCCAGCCCACACCAGTTATCCTGCTGAAGGAGGGGACAGACACGTCTCAGGGCGTTCCCCAGCTCGTCAGCAACATCAATGCCTGCCAGGTCAGCAAAACTTTAATTTCCCCCCCTGTATTTGTTTTCTTACCCTTCTTGAATTGGTCAGTCTAAATACACCTGTTGTGTCTCTCCAGGTTATTGCTGAGGCTGTCCGGACCACCCTTGGTCCAAGGGGCATGGACAAACTGATGGTGGATGGCAGAGGTGAGGAGAAATGGGAAGACAAGGATGGAGGAATGGATTAAGTGATGAGTTTACTCTTACTGAAAATGTGTGATTGTGTTTTTCAGGTAAGGCCACCATCTCCAATGATGGAGCCACCATCCTGAAACTGCTGGATGTGGTTCACCCTGCAGCCAAGACCCTGGTGGACATCGCCCGCTCCCAGGATGCTGAGGTGAGAAGTGTTTAAGCATTGATTATGTTGAGGCAACTGGTTACTTAGATTTGTTTTAGCCACATCCTCAAATAGTTCTTAATAATGTTCTTCATTACTTGCACCATTTTAGGTTGGTGATGGCACCACCTCTGTTACCCTCCTGGCTGCTGAGTTCCTGAAGCAGCTCAAGCCATACGTGGAGGAGGGTCTCCACCCTCAGACCATCATCAGAGCCTTCCGCACCGCCACCCACCTCGCTGTCAGCAAGATCAAGGAGATCGCCGTGCCTGTGAAGAAAGGCGACAAGCAGTAAGTGCTCACTTTAACCAACAGGTTATTCACAAGACATGGTTGGAGTTCAATAGAACTTTTAAAATCTTATTTTGTACTTTTGCAATGAACTTTCCATCCCATCTTTCCTCTCAGAGAGATGAGGCAGCTGCTGGAGAAGTGTGCAGCCACCGCCCTGAATTCCAAGCTCATTGCCGGTCAGAAGGACTTCTTCTCCAAAATGGTGGTGGATGCCGTCATGTCTCTGGACATCCTGCTGCCTCTCAAGTTGATCGGTATCAAGAAAGTCCCTGGAGGAGCCCTTGAGGTTTGTACCTTTTTTATAATTGTTATTTTATTCAAACACCAGAGTGAACAAAGGGTTTTCATATTTTAGTTTGACTTTGAAACCTCATTTCATATTTTTTATTTTCTACAGGATTCCCATATGATCTCTGGAGTTGCGTTCAAGAAGACTTTCTCCTATGCCGGGTTTGAGATGCAGCCTAAACGTTATGAAAACCCAAGGATTGCTTTGCTCAACGTGGAGTTGGAGCTGAAGGCTGAGAAGGATAACGCCGAGATTCGCGTCAAAAATGTTGAGGTATGAAGACTAAAACATAACACAACATAATGATTGAGAGCAATAAGTGCCCAGAAATGTTGTTAATCTCTCCCCTTTTTTTGTTACCTCCCACCTTCATGCAGGAGTATCAGGCCATCGTGGACGCCGAGTGGACCATCCTGTACGACAAACTGGAGAAGATCCATCTGTCAGGAGCCAAGGTGGTTCTGTCCAAGCTGCCCATCGGTGATGTGGCCACGCAGTACTTTGCTGACAGAGACCTGTTCTGTGCCGGCAGGGTGCAGGAGGAGGACATGAAGAGGACCATGATGGTAGGAAACAGACAGAAACTATAAAACATTAAAATTATTAACATTGATTAAAGTAAATCTATTCTATAGAGGAATGTTAAATTAATTAGTGGCCACTTGTATGTTTGAAGTAGCTTTAAGACTGTCATGTGTCTTCCAGGCGTGCGGCGGCTCCATCCAGACGTCGGTGACGGCCCTGACAGACAACGTCCTGGGACTGTGTGAACACTTTGAGGAGGTCCAGGTTGGAGGAGACAGGTAAGAAGGTTAAAGGCACAAGTCAAAAGCTTTTGTCCGTCTTCTTCTGGGTATTACTCTTTAGAATAAATAAAGCTCTATTATTCTCTACGACCGCTCACACCCATCCTGTCTGTGTTTGCAGGTATAACTTCCTTAAGGGCTGCCCCAAGGCGAAGACCTGCACCATCATCCTGAGGGGTGGAGCGGAGCAGTTCACAGAGGAGACGGAGCGATCACTGCACGACGCCATCATGATCGTACGCAGAGCCATCAAGGTTAGTACACGCATGGGATTGTTACGGAGAACCGGTCCCTGTACTCTTACCGCAATTATCTGACCCTCCTTCACCTGTTTTCAGAATGACTCAGTTGTAGCAGGTGGAGGAGCCATAGAGATGGAGCTGTCCAAGTACCTGAGGGATTATTCCAGGACCATCCCTGGAAAACAGCAGCTGCTGATTGGAGCGTACGCCAAGGCCCTGGAGATCATCCCCAGACAGCTGTGTGACAACGCTGGCTTCGACGCCACCAACATCCTGAACAAACTGCGCGCCAAACACGCACAGGTAGGAAGTCAAACATGCTAGTCCTACATCAGACTTCCAATAAGGATTTGGGATTGTCCCAGAACATTTATTAAACTCTTCTTGACTTTGTCTCCCTGCAGGGCGGTATGTGGTACGGTGTAGATATTAACAACGAGGATATTGCAGATAACTACATCGCCTGCGTCTGGGAGCCCTCCATCGTGAGGATCAACGCTCTGACAGCAGCATCAGAGGCAGCCTGTCTCATCCTGTCTGTGGACGAGACCATCAAGAACCCCCGCAGCAGCATGGACGGACCACCAGGGGGCGGCAGGGGCCGGGGCCGCGGCATGGGCAGACCCCATGCTCACTAAGAGAATGGAACGGAAGCCCATTTCTAAACTGGAATTACAACCCAAATGCAGATAGAGGACGGTGTTCATGTTTGATCTGCATTTAGATTGTAATTGTAGTTTAACATTTGGCGTTTAAACAGCCGTACACACATTGCATTTGGCAGGTGTAGTGAAACAAAAAAAGGGGAAGCAATTTCAAGATGGATTGTTAGACTTTTGTCAAAGATCGCTGACGTCTGTGTTTTTCTTTGTCACCTGTAGTTTTTTCTTACTGAAGCTTTCACTGGGTCACGTCTGTTTAACATTTCAAGCACTGTATCTTTCCATGTGTAGCCATTTTGCTGAAAAAGTGATGATGCAATACAAGAATGAAAGTAGTTCCCCCCCCCCTTGGTTTGATGAAACACTCCTGTCCCCTCAAAGTGAGCTCTCCTCTCTGAAGCAGCTGTTCCATCAGCACTAATCTGTGCTTGTGTTATCTGACAAACTGATGTGTAACATGGGAAGTAAAGCACTGATGTTCAAGAGTTCTGAACCATTCATTGTGTAGGCTGTGTGAAACTATTTATTGGACCATTCTTATCAATAAATGCACAGCTGAAATCATACTGCTGACTTGTCTTATTTTTATGTTCAAGGGTGGGGACAGAAGATTAAGGTATTTAAAGAAGAAATGCAAATAAAGATTTTACTGTGGGAAAAATGAGTAAAACGTGTTACTTTATTGTAAAATGTAGGGCCATGGATTAATCATTAGGATAATAACAGTGCTTCACAACCTGCACACAAATGAGATGACGTCTCATGTTGAACAGAGTACACAGGTTCTTCATCTTACTTTACATGCATACGAATACAGTTCATTCCAGCATACAGATAGTCGAGATAGACATTTAACGTGGCACAGCATGATCGAGGATAAAGCCCCCAAAGGAGCAGACTTATATTTTAAAGACAAGTTTACTCAAGTAATGCGATGTGAAAGATGTCTAATACTAAACAATACACCTGAATAGTGATGTAAGGTTTAAGTAACTTGCAAATTGTGCAATAATGCCACAGTCCTTCCTTTTAAAGGGTCCTTAGTTTCTACTTCAATGATTTTTAGCTTGTAGTTCACTCTTTCACCACTAGGTCACGCTCAACCACAGTCACATCGGGAACAAAGCTGCAGTCCAGGTAGATGTAGTCAATAGCTCATATGGACAGAAAAATATGAATGAATGAGGTATCGGACCCTTTTGACATCCCTGTGTGATTCATTATACGAGGGAAAAGGAAACAGTCTTCCTATTAAAGAATTAACGTGAGTGAGTCTCACTCTAGGTAGTATAATACGTACAGGTTGATTTATTAGAAGGTATCCGTTTATTGGAGAAGGGATGTGTACTGCTCCAGCTTCCATTATGGTTTTACAGAGGTCATACAAAAGGAAAGGGGCAGGAAATGCGTGTGACAGCATTATAAGGTGACTGAAGACAGTAGACACTTTCTTCTTCTCTTGTTAATAAAGGGTGCCCCACCCTCCAGTTGAAGAGATGCTGAGTAAAAAAAAAAAGGCTAAGTTTGAATACATTTTTATTCTCTACTCTACTGAGTAAATGTAAAGCCTAAATGTCTGAATCACAGGATGTGAGTCTCAAACCTGTCTCCCACTCCCAAAGTACCGCTTATTATTCTACAATTATCATCCCAAGAATCCGTTTTTTCCTGTTCTCCACTTCCTGCTCCTCCTCAATTAGCCAGGAAGTCTATGGAAGCCCGGACGGAGCGGTTAGACATGACGTCAACCGCTGTGACTTTGATCTCCGTGTCTCCAAACTGCATAGTGGCTCTGATCTCTCTCCTCTCTGGTCCTCCTCCTCCTGCTCCGCCTTCTCCTCCCACTGCTCCCGGTAGCTGTAGCGGCTCCGGTAGGTCTAAAGTAATCGTCCCGCACTTCCTGACCCCGGGGTCTGAGATGTAGGTGACATCCTCTGAGGGGCTGCAGTAGATGTTGATGATGATCTTGCGCTGCCCCAGACGAGCGGGGGTGTAGCTCCGCTTCACGACCTCGCCCAGAGCCACCGATTGGTCCACGCAGACGAAGCGGTCCAGGATGTCGGTGCACCACTCACGGCCGTCCTTGATGAGGAGTTTGTCCCGAGGGTGGCGCCCCTCCACGAAGCGGTTCAGGACGCCAACGCCGTAGATGAGGGGGCAGCGACGCACTCTGACCTGAGAGACAGATTCTGTTAGAACTTGTCAAAGACCTCCATCACTAAAAGCTGCTCCTGATTACTCACCACGGTGGGATCCAGCCCAAAGAGCACGGCCCCCTTCAGAATGGTTAGTCCCACGTCATGGGGGATGATGATGCGACACGTCCGCCCCACTGCTCTCTGGACAGCTTTCTGCAGCATGGGCGACTCGGCAAAACCACCGACCAGGAAGAGGAAACGCACGCCTTGTAACTCAGGCTTTGCCACCAGCTCCTCTGTCAGGGGAGGAACATGGGAAAAAGCCTTTAGAATGATTTCACTTCATTCATCCACTTCCGTTAACTTCCTACACTTTACTAGCAATGATCTCCACGTGAAATCTGATGCGACCAATAAGCCCAGCCTGGGATAAACGAACAGGCTGCTACACAGTCGCTGATTTTGAAGTGCTTTATGTTAACCCCAGTTTAAGCTGGGTTCTCCCCGTTCTTAAATCACAAATCCATCCAAGAAAAAGTCTCTTTAACTGGCTTTGGTTGATTCCAGTGTATTCACAGATGGAAATATCATGTCGACAGATTATACTCGATAATATTAGCTGCTTTGGATGTAACAAATGGTCGACAGTTGTCTTATTTTCAGATTTCTTTTGACAAAAAACAACATATGGTTGCTCTCATTTGCTTTTTCCCCATTTACACACGTTTTCTTTCCACGTAAATAGGCCGTTACCAGATCTGGTGCAGGACTCTGGAAGTTAGAATGGGTTGTATTCTTTTTTTAACAATTTGACACATCCACTCTTCGTCTTATGTTGATCCAACAAAAGCCAGCAGAGCTAAATGCTTTGTACCACTGGAATGCGACGGATTAAAAATAGACACTCAAGTTTTTTAAGAATGAACAAGGCTGGAAAACAAACAGTAAGGTCACTAGTACCTAGAATAAGGATACAAAGAAAGCCCTTGGGCATATACAGTTGCAAGAAAAAGTATGTGAACCCTTTGGATTCTCCACACATAGCGTTGTGTGTTCCTTCCAAACAACTCAACTTTGGTTTCATCTGTCCACAGAATATGTTGCCAGTAGTGCTGTGGAACATCCAGGTGCTCTTTTGCAAACTTCAAACGTGCAGCAATGTTTTTTCTGGACAGCAGTGGCTTCCTCCGTGGTGTCCTCCCATGAACTCCATTCTTGTTCAGTGTTTTACGTATCGTAGATTCGTCAACAGAGATGTTAGCATGTGCCAGAGATTTCTTTAAGTCTCTAGCTGACACTCTAGGATTCTTCATCACCTCATTGAGCATTCTGCGCTGTGCTCTTGCAGTCATCTTTACAGGACGGCCACTCCTAGGGAGAGTAGCAACAGTGCTGAACTTTCTCCATTTATAGACAATGTGTCTATAATCTATAATATAGTATCTCTAAAAGCCTTGATGTTCATCAGTCCGTGGACTGATGAACATCAAGGCTTTCAGAGATACTTTTGTAACCCTTTCCAGCTTTATGCAAGTCAACAATTCTTAATCGTAGGTCTTCTGAGAGCTCTTTTGTGCGAGGCATGGTTCACATCTGGCAATGCTTCTTAAGAATAGCAAATTCAAAACTGGTGTGTATTTTTTATAGGGCAGGGCAGCTTTAACCAACACCTCCAATCTCGTCTCATTGATTGGACTCCAGGTTGGCTGACTCCTGACTCCAATTAGCTCTTGAAGAAGTCTTTAGCCTAGGGGTTCACCCTGCACTGTGAATGTTTACATGGTGTGTTCAATAAAAACATGAAAACATATAATTGTTTGTGTGGTATTAGTTTAAGCAGACTGTGTTTGTCTATTGTTGTGACTTAGATGAAGATCAGAACACATTTTATGACCAACTTATGCAGAAATCCAGGTAATTCCAAAGGGTTCACATACTTTTTCTTGCAACTGTAGTTTGCTCTGAGCGTGGACTATTTGCCTTTTTACGGTTTGGATTGGCGCTGCCCTGAATTAGCTCACCAGTTTGGGCAACTCATCCTGTAAAGTCAGAGGTTTGGGCTGGTCAAAACAAATCTGCTCTGCTCTGTTCTCGTGTCTTTGTGCTTCTCACCGATGTGTTTGACTATATTGCTGATGGTGGGCTGGAAGAGCTCGTTCATGGCTTCCTGCGTGAGCCGCAGCATCCCCTGGGACGACCACTTCACGATGTGCATACTGAGGAGAGAGTCTTTAATGTCACACATAAATCCATCCATTGTTTAATCAAACACACACCCCCCTTCTCCCAGTCCCCGCTCACTTGCTCCTCCTCAGGGCGGCCTCCACACTCTGCCCCCGTTGTCTCTTGTAGAAGTCGATGAAAGAGAAGGGCAGGGAGATGTTGAGGGCGTTGGCTCTGCCCGGCGCCGCAGTCCGTTTCCTCGCCTCGAACGCAATGGTGAGGTCCACCCAGGCCGCCGGACGCTTGGCCTTGAAGCTCTTGATGAAGTCCTCCCCGAATATCTGACACAGCATGGCTTCAAAGGCCAGGTCCACTCCGACCGCACCGTACGGACCGCCTGGAAGAAAAACGGCAGCTTTAAAGATACAAAGATTCAGAAAATGATGAGGATACTCCTTGGGCTGATAGAGACTTTATTTATTTGAAAGTTAACCAAGGATCGCAAACCTTTTCTTTTACATTGCTGATGTACTTCATTTCTTATTCTATATTTATTTATCTATTTATTTGATTTTATGCCATGTCTTGTAATGTCAGTGCCAGGACCCTGAGGGAGATGGATTTGTTGATGAAGTGTGCCGCCAGTATTTCACTGTTCTATGTGGAGAATTCTAACCAAAATATTTAAAGATTCAAATTCAAAAGTTTCATTGTCACAGTAGCTACATTATAGCAATGAAGATCTCCTTTAACAATCCAACATAAACATATATAAGACATTACAATAAAAACAATAAAAGTAGTGCAATAAGAAACAGAATAGAAATAAAACAATGCAACAATGTTGCAAGTGACCAATGTGCAAGGAATGCAGGAGATGTAATATACAGTATATACATGTAAAATAGACAAATCTAAAAACTGAATGTAAAATGAAATACTAAAATACTGCCTTCTGTAGTCGTAAATAAATATGTGACATTGCAAACAGATGCTTAAGCTTATGAAGGCACTAAATCATAGGAAGTTTTGTGTGTGTTTTAGCAGATTGTGAAAGTACCTGAAGCCTTGTAGAGCTCTTTGAGTGTTCCCTGTGGCTGCTCGATCTGATGCACCGTCAGGTCCACTGTCCCTCCTCCACAGTCTGCAACGATATACCTGTCCCCTGCAAGAGAGAGCACACACACACCATTAATAACTGCAGTGCAAATTCAACTCCATAAGTTGTAGGAGGAAACAGTGGATGATAGTGTGTCTCCTTTTTTGTGGAATGTCTTAATGTGTGTGTGTTTCCCCTGAAACTCTTCAACCAGCAGACCATCAAACATAAACAATCTCCAGGCTGTGATTGCTGCCCTCTGCTCTTGTGTGTTTACAATCTGCTCAGCGATAAGAGCCGGTTTTGACTTAGTTACCCTGAGTTTAGATGAGCCCCTCCTTGACACGTATGAGTGAGTGAGAAAAAGAGAAGCTACACAAAAAGAATAATAAATGGAGGATGAGAGAAGAACATGTGAAAGGAGGAGGCGAATAAAACTGGCTTCTACTCCTTTGGTTTATTTACAGTGCAGATGCAGAGTCCCATGGGCTGGGTCCTTCCTGTGGGTGTGTGTGTGTGTGTGTGTGTGTGTGTGTGTGTGTGTGTGTGTGTGTGTGTGTGTGTGTGTGTGTGTGTGTGTGTGTGTGTGTGTGAGTGAGTGAGTGTGTGTGTGTGTGTGTGTGTGTGTGTGTGTGTGAGTGAGTGAGTGTGTGTGTGTGTGTGTTTGTGTGTGTGTGTGTGTGTGTGTGGGGACAGGAAAGGGAGCAGAAAGGGTCAGCAGGGGCGCGTGGCTCCTCAGATGGTTGTCATGGCTCCCCAGAGAAAAGAGAGTGTAAAACTTGAGAAGTAGATGTATTGGTCCTGTAGGATCCTCTCAGGCAACACTGGACACTGTGGATTCACACTTTGTGGTTGTGCGTGGAAGTCAAGTACTTAAGTGCAATTTTGCCGTATTTTTCTTTTCATACAACTCCATTACATTTCAGAGGGATACTGTACTTATTGCACAGCTTTACGAAATGATGTTTTGTCTGTGAGTTTAACTTTGATAATAGTGATTCCAACTTGACATGTTTGAAGATTTGCTGATTCTCCATTTTTTTAATGTCTTTAATACATTTGTTACACTACTATTTATGGACTGTGTGTAACTTTTGGATCTGGTTACTTTTACTTTTAAATACTGACATACCTTCACCAAAGTACATTTTAAATGCGGGCTTTAACATAAGTAAAGGGTCTAAATATTTCCTGTTGTGTTTGCTAGTTTAGGGTGACATGCCCCTTGATCCTTGGCCCTTATATTCATATTTTAATTGTATTCTTGTAAGGTTACAACTTTACATTTGTAATAACATTAATTAAGAACAGAGTAAATGCAGAATGAAATGACTTTAAGCAGGAAGGAAAGGTTACAAAGTGTTTCTATAAATGAGTAAGTAGGTGGGTTTGCTTCTGCTGGGGTGAAAAGTCAAAATCATCAATATCTCCAACATGTGGGGTCTGACACCCCCCCCCCCACACACACACACACACACACACACACACACACACACACACACACACACACACACACACACACACACACACACACACACACACACACACACACACACACACACACACACACACACACTCTCTCACCAGTCTGCAGCTCCGACCACAGTTCTCCGGTTCCACTCTCCACCAGGAAGGTTCTGCTGTGTCTGGATCGCCTCAACTGCTCCCTCGCTGCAACAAACATAAAACATACTTCAGTTTTTTATTTGGATAGGATGCTGCACATGCTCTTGTGTGAGATGATTTGGGTCAGCACATCAGTTCACATTGTTTTTTAGCTTCAGCAGGCAGCTGTTTTCAGCCATACAGTTTGAAGCCTCCTCGATGCTGTGCAGTTCTTCAGGGGCAAAGCAAGGATTTCTGGGTCCCTCAGGTTAGAAAATGGGTTATTATCCCCCAAAAACAACGCTCTGGGCCCTTTTCAATTCAACAAGATTTTGATGGACTCTATTCAGCTCTGAGACCCAAGGATCATTACCACCTTTCACCATTGCCAAGATCCAAACAGTCTGCCTGTATAAACAAACTAAGCTAGTGTTTAATGCCATAACATAAACTTTCAACCTAATGAGGATGAATGCTTTTAATCTATACAACATAAAGTACGTTTCACAACCCATGAGGTCATGACATTTACCCCAAATCTTTCACACTAAGTGAAACAAGAAAAACATACCAAAACCAGAATCATAATGTTTTTGCATGACAGAAGCGATATGTTGGAAATGCTCTCACATTTCAGCTTTCTCCCCGCTCTCGACATGCTAACCGTCTGACTGGCAGGTTATGAGTATGGATGGAGGCCAAGGAAAACAGAGTGCAGCTGACATAAATACAAAACTCCTGACAGCCTTTGACAGAGCAGACACACTTAATGGGCCTCCATACATGCAAGTAGACCCATAGAAAGACATCATGGATTTAAGATGAGCAACATCTAAAGATTAAGGGAGGATGTTTTAAGGAAATTCGTTTTGTTTGTCTTTCAACAACTTGGACAGGGTTGTGGTGAAGCTGCGGCCCTGATGTAAACGTGTGTGAGTGAGTGTCAGTGTGTGTGATTTGTTTGACAGTCTGGAGTGAAGTGTTTGTATCATTTAGGTCGAAGTGGTTTTTACTAGGGTTCCCTCAAACCCCATGTTTCTTCACTCCACGATCATTTGAATAAGAGAAAGGTATTCGAAAGAAAGACAGAAAGAAGGAAAGAATACACAAGAAAGGAAAAGAAAGAACAAAGATTGAAGAGCAACATATTTTTTTACTGAAAGCAAAGACTCGTACAATTGTTTTAAGGCTCTGGATCTAGGGGGTATGAAATATGTGTGTGTATTTCTGTGTGTTCCTTTGGATGGGGTGATGAATGTAATGCAAGTCTGGAAACCATTTACATGAAACAGCAAAATAGAAAATGTGTGTGTGTGTGTGTGGTGTTCGGTTTCTGCAGAGCCTTTCCAAAGTGTAGGTCCTGGCAACAAGGAAAAGTTAGAGGGGGAGGAGGAGATGTTAGCAAGACAGAAGGAAAAGAAAGAAAAATGAATGCAGAGAAGGAGAGGGAGAATGACAGGCCGGGGGGGGGGGTGAGATCATAGTCTCACTGCACCTTGTTCCAATTACAATATCCTGTGTTTAGTGTGTGTGTGTGTGTGTGTGTGTGTGTGTGTGTGTGTGTGTGTGTGTGTGTGTGTGAGGGGCTGCATATGTATAAGTGGGCCTGTGCAGGGGATTCTGGACGGCATGTTGGTGTGCTGAATAATGCACCAGTGTCCTTTTTCTCAGCATGAAATCGCCCTTTGTTTCTTGGCTGCAAATTGGCAGCATTTTCGGGAAATTGAAAAGTTATTCACCCTTTCAAATACTATAGAGTTGCAAAGTGAAAAGAGTTTGTGGTTCTGGAAATTGTCTTTCCCTGAAACTGCAGAGTAATCACCAAATTCCCCTCAGTTCTAAGATTTAGCATCTTTCAGTTCTTTGTTTTTAGTTGTCTGCCTGCAGCTTTACTCTTGCCACTTAAATCAGCATACATTTCAGGCTTAATAGGAGACCTTATTTCGTTTGAACCAAAAACTCTGATAATCCAATACTACGCAACCTGCCCGACAGAAAGCTAACATGCAAGGAGCAGTTAGCATCTAATGAGCAGGTGTTTCCCTCGAGAGAAGAGCTCAAAATAAGGATGAATCTTGGACTTGCATTATACGGAATGCAAGAAACCAAGCTTAAAATAAATGCTAATGTTCCTCTGTATCTTCTAGATGTGCTAATAGGGAACAGTTTGCCTACATGCTCACAACAGCAACTTTATAACATGATAATATGCCAATTTTGCGTTAAAGAAAAAAGTAACTTAGAGAGCTTTAGCATATACAACATTCTTTACACTGTGCTATCACACACACACACACACACACGCACACACAACACACACACACACACACACACACACACACACACACACACACACACACACACACACACACACACACACACACACACACACACACACACACACACACACACACACACACACATGCTACCTTGTCTGAAGCTGGATTCGAAGGGCCTGGAGCCTTCCAGGTCGAGGCCGTTTGTGATTGGCTGTAAGCTCAGGTCGAGCACCTGGTGGAGGCGGAGCTTGCGGCAGTAAATGGACGCGGCCTCCGGCTCCAGAGCGATGAGGAGCTGCTCCGGACAATCAGGAGACACCAGACCAGCCTACAGAGAGGGAGAGGAACATTACAAGTGTTATTACCCTGCAACATTATCCATGGTATTAAGACACTGAGGACATATTAGTATTGGAAACATATTGGTATTGGAAAAATAAGTTCTCAAACATCCTCATATAATGGTTTGTAGGATATTTTACAAAAGTTATTGTATTCTTTTTTGGCCTATGAATGTTCAGCAACACGAGTGATCAGTGTTCCCACAAAAGATTATGGTTCAGAAACTGCAACAAAATTAGAATCAGAATCACCGATACTTTAAAAAATCCCAGGGGAAATTGGTTAAAGTATATATAAATTACTCATGTAGGTTCAAGAAAGATCGTAGTTTGGGATTAATAAATATGTTGAATTAATTACTTGGTGAAATTTAGAACAAAAGGACTACTCAATCTTAAAATATTGTGGCAATATCAACATTACATTTGTGTATAACCTGGCCCCATTACTTGGCTAGGTTTAGCAAAATATTGTAGCTTGGGTTCAAATAAGTACGGAAGTGGCGTTGCTTGAGTACGGAAGATACATAACAAATAAGTAAATGTTGACTTTTGTTTTCACTCTGCACACAAACAGCGGTGTCCTGTGTGAGAGTGTTTGTTTGACTCACCCATGCACCCTGACCTCTCCCTATGCAGACTTTTGCACAATAATCGTGCATTACTTTTGATAATTATAACAGCGTATGAGAACAGCCTGTGTTTTTAGGTGTGTGTGCAGGGCGGGGGTCTGGACACCTCTTCCTGTGTTTGTATGCCGGTCTCCCTCATTGTTCGCTTGAGATGACATCATCGCCAGCAGGAAGCACACACACCCTGACAGCCGAGAGCCGGAGCCAGCATAGGGTGTGTGTATATGTCAGTGTATATGCCAGCGTGCATGTGAAAGTGTGTGTCCATTAGACAATTTATGTATGTACCCCGGTGAATAAAGGACAAAGGAGAAAAGGTGAACAAATGTGTGTGCGTGAAAAATTGAACATTTTGCAGAGAGGGAATAAGGAATAAAGCATGATATTGAATGTAAAAGTAGTACAGTCATTTCCATGGACTGTTGCTAATTAATTAACAATTACACTCATGGGTCAGTCCATTCTCATTGATGTGTATTGTGATAGGCCCCCTTGCATTCCTGTCTATGTACGCACACTTCCTACAAGTCATTGGGACAAATACAGTGCACCGAAGGAGGAGTGTGTGGGTTGGTGGGAAGCTATACAGGGAGGATAAAGGGAAAGTGCAGAGTGTGTGTGCATAGCAGGGGATCTTCCATGGGAACATTAATTAAAGAGCCTTAATCTCATGCTGTTGTGTCACCAAATATTGAGATAGGTCAAATGTTTTTCTTTCACAGGACCTATATACATGTTTTTATGAGAATGGATGGATCAGGAGACATATTGGATGTAGAGACCCTCCTGGCTCATGTTCCTACCAGGTATGCAGCCTCTCTCATGAACTGTTTGGCGGGTTGTCTCCACACAGCTGGGACGGTGATCACCCATCGGATGTCCTCTCCCTCCAGCACTGATGACGACTGGTCCTTCACCTCCTAAAACCAATTAAAGAAACATAGTCTTTGGTAAACACACTCAAAACTGAATTCAAGCTATGAGCTTCTGTCAAAGCAAAGCACTTGAGCTCATAGATGGACCTTGTCTTTTAAACTGCACATAAAAAACACATTTAAATACATCTATAAATATGAGGTTCCATACTGCAATTATATGGGGTTTCATAATGCACCTTTAGAGCATGTTCCCTGAAGAAGTGCAGGGCGTGAGCAAACACCTCGATGGCCCTGACCTTCCGCCCGCTGACCGCCTCCAGCTCCGTCTCCATGGTGAGGTCCTGCAGCAAACACAACCCCAACTGTTGAAAAACTGCTGCAAGAACAAGTCATCTATCTGATTCTTACAACAACAAAGTCATAATAATTGCAAAAGACAGTTCAAGAAAAGAAACTGCCCGATTGGAAGCTGCAGAGGCTAAGATCCTACACTTCCCACAATGCATCCTGGTCTGGATGTGCAAATTGAACCCTTTTGTTCTGGATAGTTTATGAAAATAGTTCTTCTGTCATTGCCACCCACAGATTCCACCCATCTTCTCGGATTCTCCTGATCTCTCTTACACTTGTGCTGTGGATCTTCATCTTGAACTTATCGAAGTAGAGCCAGTGTGGAGCCTCCTCCGGGTCCAGGTCGTGGTAAAAGTCCCGGGCCGCAAACCCAAAACTGTGGAACTTCAATTCAGGAGTCAGAAGCAGACACGTTGGGCTCTTCTGATTGGCTACACCGGGGTCCCCTCCCTCCCAGCGCCTACAGGGATCGGAGGAAAAAGATGTCAAGGGTAAGACAATAATAAAACTGAATTTGTTCAAGGAAACAAAAACAGAGTCTTACTTCATCATGTGTATGGCCTCTGAGTCCTGAGTGAAGCTAAAGGCGTAGCCGCTGGAGGTCGTCCCAAAGTCTATCGCCACGACAACTGAGAAAGGACAGGACATCCGGGGTCTGACCTCCACCCTCTGAGAAAGACAAGGACATTTGTGTGGCTATGAAAATTGGTACAGACATTCATATCTACCTCAGGAGAAATCGGTGAAAACTAGTATGAGACAACCTTGGGTCGTAAGGCAAATTTGTTCCTTGAAAAACAATTTGTATTTCTCCTAATGTTTAGCCTAAGTATTCATGCTGTAAAAATGTGGAACATAGTATAGTCTACCTGCTAAACATTAGCATGTTAGCATGTTCTCTTGTTTAAGGTTCAACACTAAAAGGAAGAAATCCTCATAGTCTGCTACAAATATCACAGTCTATGATCTAATGCAGGCGACCATTTCTGTCTGGAGAGGAAGCACGGGTGGAATTTAAAACACATGCTTCTCACATTTTAGAGATAAATTGTTTTGAAGAGTGGAAATTAGCAGGTTGGCTTAGAAATCTGTTGTTTTTCAAGGACTTCCCTTCATTCCTCTCCTCTCCTCTAGTGAGATATTGTGTTTTTATAGGGTACTCGCTTTAGTTCTACACCTCACTTTAAACTCGGAGTGAAAGTGTTATCATAAACCACTAATAACAGTGAGAAGTGGATGTGGGTTTACAGGCCGTGTTTAAAAGCTCTATATAAAGAACGTAAGGGAATGGGTGTGCGGTAGTGTCTGTGGTGGATGTGCGTTTGTGTTAGTGCATAGTTACCGGTGACGGTGACGGTGTGAGGGGTGTGATGCTGCAGTCATTTCGAGCTGTGGCAGGCGATGAAGGGGCTGATAAATGATCACCTGTGAATTAGCGGATTAAGGGAATTATAAACACATTAAAGCATTGGAATAGTGCCACACGTACTGAACACAATAGCCAAAGAACATGCAGCTTCTTATCATAGGGAAAGAGTGATTATTACACTAACATACGAGCACAAATGCAGGCAACAGCTTATCTTTCACACACTTGACCTGAAGCTCTCTATATTGAATATTTGTAATGAACCGGAATGACTGGAATGTCACTGGAATCTGATGAGGGTAATTTCCAAGTGGGAGAAGAACATGGAAAGGTCAGCGTGTTCACACTCCAAAAGATAACGGGAGGTGAAGTGAGTCATTTTGACCAGGTTGCCATAGTGTTGAAGCATGTGTATAAACTGTGGAGGAGAGTGTGTGTTTCTCACCGGGAATCTGCAGGCTGTCGGGGTCAGGCTGCGCCTCGTCAGCCATCTTTGCAGGAGCCAGGGTCTGCGGAGGAACACACCAACATCATGCAAAAATAAATATTGTGCAATAGAAAGCCAGACATTTGGAGACACGTATTCTTCAGATACTCCCTAACCATCCTTCACAGCAACTGTCAGCACTTTATGTAAATGCTATATAGGTTATTGGATGGGTTGAACAAACAATATAACCTGGAAAAGTGATTCAAAGTCACTTGAGGAATGTTGTGCACTTATTTAAAGACTTATTCACATTTATATGAACTTGAGGGCACTGTGATGGAAAAGGGAATCATGGAAGACGAGAGGTGTGTAAAATCATTAGTACTATAAATTAACTATTTCACGATGTGTGTGTGTGAGAATTTCATTTGTTTTAGTAGTATAATCCTTTTCATTGAGCTACTGACTGTATGTCTTCCTGTACATGCATTTACTTTGTGCATATGTTTGTGCTGTTTTATATTGTTTTGTGTGTGTGTGTGTGTG